CGCCGTCGAGTTAGCTCGAATATTTTATTTTCAGTCGAGAAATGTAATTTTGAAATCTTAAAATTACTACGGTGTATTTTTCTCAAAAACATATGACTCAAAATACATGATTTGTAAAAATATAATTCATTTATAACTTATACTATAACATGGGCGTACGAAATTTTTGATTCTTAGGGCTATGAGTCATGAGAGCTTTCAAATCTCTTAAAAGCTTAAAATACACAATAAGAAACCAAAAATTTTAATAAAATTTTTACGAATAGACAAATTGTGCACTTCTAAAAAGCGGACCATAAAGTTTAAAATCTTTGTTTTTAAAATGCAAAATATGTAAATCAAGAACAGTGGCAAAATCCAGTTAAACAGCCTGTAAATATGCTTCCGGAGCTTATGTTCTATCTGCAAAAGCTTATTTCGTTTTCAGTTCTACTTGTACTTCGTTTGTTTACACTTGCATATGTATGTACATGAGCTTGTATTTATGGATACAAGTATACCATATATACACATAAATATTCATCTACATATTTATGTGTATATGTACTGCTTTTACGATATACGTATGTATATATGCATGCATATATCTATGGCTTCTTGCATGGCTGCGAGCAATGCTTCCTTGTTTTGCTTCCTTGCCTTGCTCTTGACTTTTCGTTATCCCATAATTTATCGATTTGTCCTATGGCCGGCACATGCGCCTTGACCATGATGATGCTTATCGTCATTGTCGCTGTTCTGTTTGTATATTGATGTCGTTACCCATACAAATGTATGTAAATAACTAAAATGTATTAGTTATACATACCCAGCAGGAAATATATCTAAATATAAGTTAACTTTAAGTTGATTAGGAAGAAACTAAAGGTTACTATTATCTGTATATTTTCTTTGAGGAAAGCTAAGTATATTTGCAATGCGATGACTGCGGAATAGTCAAGTGAGGTTACCTCTCCATTTGGTGTCAACTAACTTGTAACTAATAACTTTTGAACATACATAAAATATCAATAAGAAACCAAAAATTTGTTTTAAATTTTTTCCTTGTTTATTTATTTACTTTATTTATTATCACCTATTTGTTTACATATTCCACCGTGGTTGCACCCATATTCGAATTCCGTCAGAAATAACTACAAAATGATAACATGAAATTTCGAAAAAGTATTTGTTAAGTGCAGAAAAGAGTGTATTCAAAGTAAAATTTTTATAAAGACATTTAAATATAAACTTGTTCAAAGAAAACCAACTCCCGACTCCTGCATTACTTTTCAATTAGATTCAAGTTAGCTTTTTGTAGTTAACTAAATGTTATATATTTTAGAGAAACCATATATGTGCCATTGCACATGCATACAAACATATGTATGTATGTAATTGTTGCCATTCACCTTTGTGTTACCATGTGGAGAGCGGCAATGGTTTCAAATCCTTGTGAAAAAATTTTATTGCTGCACTTTCATAAATCTCGAGAGTTAATTATTAGTTAAAGTGTAATGATGGTTTAACTTTTCAATTATACGAATATATTAAATTGGCAATTAGGTTTAAATTAAATAAAAACTGTAATCCTTACTTAAAAATAAATATTTATATAACTTTTTGACAATGAAAAGAATATATTCTCTATTCTTTTTGCTCAGACACCCGAATTTTGGTTACAAACGAGGTTTTTCTCTTACAGCCCTATTCTCACATCATTGACAAAATTCGTCGTATAGCTATTGTCATAATTACTGCAACTAAAACATTTTTTCGTCATTGTCGCGCACTCAGAAGGTCATAGCAATAACAATGACAGTTATACTCATTAGAGCGAAATATTTTCTAACAGGGCTATTACAGTTTGATCTCTCTGTTCACACGTACATTCAAGGAAAACGGAAGAGAATTCAAAGGTTAAGGAGCAACGTGCTGCTAAATAAAAAGCGTAAGTGAAAACTGTTGCTCGATAGGCGTGTTGAAAGTTAAAATTAGGTCCACTTACATATGTATGTATATATATGTAGGTATGTACCTTTAAATCCTTTGGGGCTTTTGTCATGCATGTCAGTACTTAGTATTGGCTTTGTGGTTTTCCGGCTGACAATTTGCCGCATACTGACGTCATGCAAAAATTCATACATACATACATACATACATACTTATGTATGTACAGTGATTCAAACAAGTGTAAAGGCGGATTCATCATTCTATGTAGTTCTGAACTAAAGTTGAAGTTGAGTTCACAACTCAAAAGCATTCAGAACTTTTCTCAGTTGCTCTCCCAGAGAGAAAAACACAACAACAACCACATAAAAGAAAAGCTCCGAACTATAACGATGGATCCGCAGTTAGCGTATTGATTTTTTTAATATTCACAACCCTTTTTCAAGTTAATTTTTTTTGTTATCTTTCTATAAAAATATTCTTTAATTTTAGTCAAAACTATATACATAAATGCAAGTTTCAACTTTATAAAAAATTTAGGAAATGTAATACTCACAACATTGTTGGGTATGTAGTTTTATAGCTCTTACAATTATGGTCTAATGAAGTGCAAGTCATAATATTTCAGAAGAAATTCTTGCTTACATGGAAAAAGTTAAAAAGATTATTAAAAACCAACGCGATTTTTTAGCAGCTTGCACTTCAGGAGACTAAAATTGTAGCGGCTATAAAACTGCATGCCCAAAAATGTTATAAACATTCAGATTATTCCTAATGATATCTTTCATGAGCATGAATTATTATAACTTTGGTCCGATGTTTGTAAGTACCAGAATAAGAAGAGATAGACCCATTGAAATGTATACTTAAATGATCAGAACGCCGAGCTGAGTCGATTTAGCCATGTCCGTCTGTCCGTCTGTCTGTCTGTCTGTCTGTCTGTCTGTCCGTCTGTTTGAATGCAATTTAGTCTCTCAGTTTTCGAGATATCCGGATGAAATTTGGTAGGTTTATGTATTTTTTTAATGTATTAATCATTTGTCGGAACCGGAAGAATCGGACCACTATAACATATAGCTCCCACACAACTGATTGTTCAGATATGAGATTTTTCGTTATAACTTCTCCATTTACGCAGATAGTGACATGGAATTTTGCAATACTTTCACCCATTATCAACAGAAAACTTAGAGTGAAAATGCAAAGATCGGGTCACTTTAACCTATAGCTCTCGTACAACTGATTGTTCAGATATGAGATTTTTCGTTATAACTTCTCCATTTACGCAGATAGTGACATGGAATTTTGCAATACTTTCACCCATTATCAACAGAAAACTTAGAGTGAAAATGCAAAGATCGGGTCACTTTAACCTATAGCTCTCGTACAACTGATTGTTCAGATATGAGATTTTTCGTTATAACTTCTCCATTTACGCAGATAGTGACATGGAATTTTGCAATACTTTCACCCATTATCAACAGAAAACTTAGAGTGAAAATGCAAAGATCGGGTCACTTTAACCTATAGCTCTCGTACAACTGATTGTTCAGATATAAGATTTTTTGTTATAACTCCTCCATTTAAGTAGCTAGGCACATGAATATTTGCACTGTTCTCACTAATTATCAAAAGAATACTTACAGTGAAAATAACAAAGATCGGGTCACTATAACATATATCTCCCATACAACTGATTGTTCAGTTATGAGAATTTTCGTTATAACTCCTCCATTTAAGTAGCTAGGCACATGAATATTTGCACTGTTCTCACTAATTATCAAAAGAATACTTACAGTGAAAATAACAAAGATCGGGTCACTATAACCTGTTTATTGCCCCATACAACTGATTGTTCAGATATGGGGTATTACTGTGAAACTCCTTTATTTGGACAGCTAGAACCGATAATTTCGTAAATAATAATACAAAGTATACTGAGAAAATCGTCAAAATTTATGCTGTGTGAGCTTTATCTCTTATACCACTAATTGTTCAGATACTAGTCTTTGCGATATATCTCCTTGATGTACAGTTGTCCACAAAGTAATAGGAGTGCGATATTTTGACCATTTTTGGCTATTTGTCTTTTGTTTATTTAATGTTTATTATTTTTTTATAAAAGCCTAGCTGGCTATACAACAAACACCATATAAATTCAGATTTTAAACTTTGTATAAAAATTATAAAAATTTTGCAATTTTTCACCCAAATTTCAAACTTTTTAATCAGAATCTTTAGAAAAAATTCTGGTATGCAGTTTTGTAGCACATTCAATTCTAGTCTGAAGAAGTGCAAGTTTCAAGCGGCTAAAAAATTCCGTTGATTTTTGAGAATTTTTTTGGTTAAAGGTGTTTCACGTTTTTTCCATACAAAGTATGTCGACAATTTTCTTTTATATGGAGGACACTGCCAGCAAAAAAATTGCCAAAAATCAACGGAATTTTTTAGCCGCTTGAAACTTGCACTTCTTCAGACTAGAATTGAATGTGCTACAAAACTGCATACCAGAATTTTTTCTAAAGATTCTGATTAAAAAGTTTGAAATTTGGGTGAAAAATTGCAAAATTTTTATAATTTTTATACAAAGTTTAAAATCTGAATTTATATGGTGTTTGTTGTATAGCCAGCTAGGCTTTTATAAAAAAAATAATAAACATTAAATAAACAAAAGACAAATAGCCAAAACTGGTTAAAATATCGCACTCCTATTATTTTGTGGACAACTGTAGGTAGCTAAACCCATTAAATTGTGTTACCGGTTCACGTACCAATCACACAGCAGTGAGAATCATTTAGATTGGTGCTATATAAAGTATATCTTCCATTCCTCTGATTGTTTAGCTATGATTTTTTATATATGTATCTCCTCTATCTATGCGTTCTGTGAATATATACATACATTTTTTCAAATGCAGTAATCTGTTTAAGTAAAATTTTCAGATGCTCATGAAAGGTATGAAGCCTTCGGCATAGCCGAAAACAGTGCTGCTCTTACTTGTTTTTTTATAAAGTTTGAAACTCTGATTGTTGTTATTGTTGTGGCTAAGGCCTGAACAGTATTTTTTTATAGAAAAATAACAAAAAAACCTTGTGAATATTTAAAATAAATCACCACGTGAACACTTGTTTCAGGCACTGTACTGTAATGTAAAGGGGCAGTAAAACCACATATATGTATCTGTTGAGTACAAATACGTATGAATGCTCATACTCTTCCCAGTCGGCACAGTTAACAATAAAAATAAGCTATCGAGGAGCTTTTTCTTTGGATCTATGAAGTATCGGTTTTTCGTACACTGTTATATACTTTTTTTTATGGAATGACTATTGTTAAGGCTCTCTGAATCAGCTCCCCTTGAAGGAGAAAATTTATATCAATTAACATAAACATAACAAAATTTTAATTGATACCAACAAGCCCCGGTCCCCTACCATGATTGTTTACTTTATCTGACTTCCGTTGTATTGGAAAGAAATCTTCTCCTCTATAATCGAGGATCTTCTAGGTTTAGTTGAAAAAGGCCTGCCTAAAATCATTCATTTGCATAGAAGAGCTTTCAAGGTTGTCGGGTGGGTTGAGCTTTCGATACATACATACATACATATGCACACATGCATACATCTCCATCTATCATCATACATACATCTATCATTTACACCGTTTTTAAGCATTTCTTGCTATTTAATTTTGTTCTGTTTTTATTTGTTTCCAACTTTTACTGCTGGTTACTATGTATAAACATACATACATACGTACATATGCATTCAGTTACAGTATTCAATCGCTGCTGACGTCACAATGAGGTGGTTTATTATTGCTGTTGAAAACAGAAAAATTTTAATATATTGTACACTTGGGGCGAATACTTATATTCTCGTAACAAGGATATGCAAATTACAAAACTTCGACAAATCACAATTGATTAGGAACAACTACTGTTAAATTGTTATATGATATGTGGATTACAGATGTACGCCGATAGGCTTTTCGGCGGGGCGGTGACGATGGACGGGCAAACGGAAGAACTACGTACCTAAATACTATGTATTTGAAATAAAACATTACAAATTTAAGATATTGAAGTAATTAATTTTAAAAAAACTTAATAAGGGTTAATTAAATAAGTTTTTACAATTGTCAATTGCGAAACTTAACTTTTTCCCCCTCCAATAATTATGTTATTTTTTTGAATATCTAGGTATGTTATATTGTCTACAATATATCTTTGGTTTTCTTCTAGAATGTCGAGTTTTTTTTTATTGGTGTATTTTACATGCGCATTTTAGAATTTTTAGCAATTTACATGAAAAGCCAAAAGTTTATTAATTTTGAATTGAATTTTTACTTAAAAAACTAAAAGTATTAGTTAAGAATATCCATTCAAAGACTAGGTAAATCAGAAGGACTTATGTACATATGTACATATGTATGTAATTTCGAAGTTAACGCTAGTAATGCGCGTTAACGCTAAGAAAATTTATGAAAGTTGTTTTTTCGAAAAATTTAGGTGATCGAATTATTTTGCTATATTTTTGGAAGCGTAGAACCTAATACCTACCTTCTGAATTTACCTAATACCGATGGTATGCCTATCTTGAAATTTTTAACTATTTTGATGAAACAACTAAAATTAATTAGTTTAAAATTAAATTTTTATTCGAATTTTTATGCCTATACCAAGTGTTTTGAAACTTAAGTTAAAAATTCTTCAAAAAGTGGAGTTAATCTATTTGCTAACTGAGGCGTACATACTGATTAATTGATAGGACATAGTCTTATAGATGGTTAAAATATCAAGCAGTAAATTATACTATGGACTACCTCGGAATCTGCGGAATAAGGCGAAAGAGTAAAGTGCAATGAAAAGTAATAATATTTTTCACCAAATCGAAGACACTTTAACCTTGAGTAGACAAATACAGTATGGCCTCGCTCAACTCAACCCTCGTTGAGCGCAACTCCTCGATTATTACAACACACAAATATCTCACATTGTTAACTCAGTAAAGGCAAGTTAACAAAAAAAAAAAGCTCTATTATTGCAACCAGCATTTTTAAAAATTTGTTATAGTTCACGCTCACTATTGTTTCCTACCGACGGTTGAACATTTTTCAAGAACGCACTATTTCAGAATTTTCAATATATTTTCAGTTGGGAAAGGTCGTTTTTGAACCAAATTCTGAGATAGGGCGTTTTTCAATCAAGTTCTGAGATAGGGCGTTCTTCAACCTACTTATGCAGCGTTTTTGCAACATTTAAAAAAAAAAGTGGTAAGCCATAATTTTTGTTGTAGTTTTAGATTTGCTTGTGTTCGTAGTTCTTTGTTTTATTAAAAGTTGATGCCTTATAATAAAACAAAGAACTACGAATACAAACAAATCAAAACAGTTCAAACACAAAAGTGAAATAAATTCGGAGTGTCCGTAAAATATATCTGCTCCAAAAATCAGGTTATTTTTTTTTGTCTCACTCGTGACAGAGCAAATAACTTTGATTTTCTCCCATATAAAAGCAAGGTATATTCAACAAGGTAGAAGTGACAATTCAGTCGAAAATGTCAAAAAATGTAAACAAAAAAATTAACCCGCCCATAATTCCTTTTCATTTTATTATGTATTTAAAATCAGTCGCACAGCTCACAATTGAAAATTTATATTAAAATAAGCAACCCTGATGGCAACCTTATCATCAATTTATACGCGCTTGTCTCATGTGCTTACTTGAATCATTTTTTAACAAAAAAGTATTTATTAAACCCATTTTTTAATAATTTTCTCATGTATGTATCTCCTTCAGATCGATGTTACCATTTTGTATGAATCACTCTGTCCGGACAGCATTAATTTTATGACCAAGCAGTTAGCGCCCGCCTACGATAAACTCAAAGCTAACTTGAACATAAACCTGGTGCCGTTTGGAAAATCACGCGTAAGTATGAACGATTTTTAATACATTTTCCTGCATAAAAAGGAGTACAGGAGGAGTAAGTAGTTTAAAAAACTAAAACCTCCCTATTATAATTGCCATTCGTACTGTCAACAGGTATGTAACTTGAGAATAGAAATCGCTGCATCTTTTAGGCGAATCAATATTACATAGTTACACCACCAGCTAATAAAAGGAAGGTACAAATTAAAATGTTGAATAGTATAGGGTTAAGAGTTGATATTTTAGTCGCAGTTCAAAAGAGAGAAATGTCGAAATCACTTCTACCTTGTTATGCCTTGATATAAAAGTATGTTGGTGTCCAGATTGTTTAAAAAAAGCGCAATTTCTGAAAAAAAATTTGCAATTTTTTTAAAATAAAATTCATGAAATCGATTCAACAAATCTTTTATTTTAAAAATGAGATCTTGTTATAATATATATAAACGCGAATATAATACCTTTTATAATAAATAACACAAATCACTTATATAATAGTGATGTACAAACAATTTTCTTTCAAAATACGCATACTTTTTAAAAATATTTGTTTCAACACATTTTTCGATAGGACTGCGCAACTATTAAATTTACTAGCTAATACCCGCGGGTTTCACCCCGCGCTTTTATACAAATATGAAAAATAATTTAATGATGTTAGATTTTTTTTCTGTGCCCATTTCGTTAAAAATCGTTATTTTTTAAGCGAGTTAAGGTATTTAGGCCGTTTAAAACTATGAAATTATAAAATCTCGTCTGCGCGCTAGGCATACGAAAGATATCAATCCCTCTAAGTTTACCTTAAAATGATTCCAGGTATACGACGCGAGAACGTGTAACCTTCTTGGAGGTGCCACGGCGGGTTCTAATATTTCCAACTCAAATTTAGTAACCTGGCCTTGATAAAATACCACTTCTCATTACTGTAGCAAATGCCTCAAGAGAGCTTTAGATTATAACATTTATTGTTCACATTTTCACAGTTTACACATAAAATGTTTAAAATTTCCTCTAAAAAATTTTCGTTTAAATTTACGCATATAAAGAGAGGTAACCAGTTTCCTCTCCTAGTGTGTGCAAAATTAAACAATGTCTGTTTACTTTTACATATCAAATTTGTCACATAGCGCACACAAGGGGTGGGTTTGGGGCTAAATTTATTATGATATAAGAAATTTTGAAATAAAAAATTTTCTTTTCCATTTCTTGTGCGTCATTGTGTAAGAATTTTTCTTTTTTTCTTGAGAGCTCTTTAAAGTTTAACTGCGAATGAAAACATTGTCCTAAAAATATGCAATGCATACTCACTTACTGTTGCTTTTTACACTTTACAGCCTAAAAAAGTTTACCACTGATATGTACTTAATAAGCATTCGATTTAATTTA